GAAATCGAGCTGCCGAACGGAGTACGATGGCGGGAAATCCGACGGCCCCGATGAAGTCCCTTGCTCCATCAGATCCGTCAAAATCTTCACCAAATCAAAGAAATGAACAAAATAAGAGCCAAAAAAATGAAAGCAACAAATATTTCAAAGGAATTCGCTCCGCATCAATTTCAAAACCCCTCAGATCAAAAACATCTCGTCCGCTGACCACGAATCGAACAGTAGAAATCAAATTAAGAGACAAACCAAAAAAGGATTAAGAGAGGATTACGAGAGGATGAAGAAAGGTTTAGGGTTTAATTTTGAAAGGGGAGACGAGCATCGAGAGAGGGGGAAGAAGCTAATGATCTTTTTCTCTCCCCCGCTCTAGGTTTTTAAATCAAATTTTTTTATTGGACGGTGGGATTTTTGGCAGGAAATCTTTTGATGGCTGAGATTTGTTATTTGGATCGTGCGGATAGAATTCATAAGCGTCAAGAATCTAGGTTGGTGGCCGTCGGATTTTAAAGGACGGCTGGTTTCTCCTGGTTGCTTTTCGTTTCATTTTATTTTTTAAATAAATATTAAATTGAGAGCATAAAATAAATGGGAAATTGCTTCCAGCCCCCGATTTCTTTGCAAGTGTTCTACCCACTTCTAAGAATTTTTAAACACTCCTAAAGCTTCCAAAAGTAAACTCAGTATTCTCCGAGCCCCAAAATACAAAACCCAAGAGTTTTAAACACGTGAGGACCATAATACCCTTTATCTCTTTCTTTTTTTATGATGTTACTGTGATGATTTCAAATGGGTTTTTTTTTTTTTTTTTGGGGAGGTGGGAGGGGGGGGGGGGGGGATTTCATGTTCCCTCCAAATTTTTCAACGGAGTTGACATCGACATCGGCAGTAAAACTTCGCACAGCGTTGCCTCATGAGGCGAAGAAAACTCTGATCATGAGACGTGATGATGAGTTGCGTCGGACGAAACCCCCTTATATATATATATATATTAAAATCGATGAGTTGAGATTAAGTTAAGAGTATGTAAATTTATATTTATTCTTGTTATTTTCACTGTAATAAGTTTTTTAAGCCTAAGAGTTGGTGGTGAATGAAGGTTACATGTTGGTTTTGAATGTTACGCGGTTGGTTATGAAGGATACGTGTTGGTTGTTGATGGTGTTACGAGTTGGTTGTGAAGGATACGCTTGTAGGCGTCAAAAATGCTGAAAGATATCCAAGCACAGCTCAAAAGGAGATTATCGAAAATCAAAGAAAAAGACAGTCTTTACTGTCTCGTACGCGAGACAGTCTTTACTGTCTCTCCGCGCGAGACAGTCCTTTACTGTCACTCCGCGCGAGACAGTCTTTACTGTCTTCTCCGCGCGAGACAGTTCTCGAAGGCTCAGAAATTGTTTTATAAACGCCGACACGTGGCCATTAACTGTCAAAGAACATGGGGAACGTCGTGGGCGAGAATCACGTGTAATACTTACCGAAATAACGGAGTTTGAAAACGTGGAAGGCAGTTACAATGAAAACTGTCAGACAGTTACTGCTCCCGAGACAGTATTTACTGTCTCGCGCGGCCGAGACAGCAAACACTGTCTCGACAGCCGAGACAGCAAATGCTGTCTCGCGAGCTTGTTTTCCGCCAACTGTTCCTAGGGGCTATAAATCCCCCCCGAAGGCCATTTTTGACGGAGGCTGATCAGAGAGCATCCACAGGCTGATTTCAGAGCAGAGAGGGCAGAGTACTCGAGCTTCTGTAACTCCTTGATATTCAGGCTTTGACTTGATTTCAAGAAGAACGACTATCTTACCTTGATAAGATATCGTTTAAGTTCTCACTTCGATAAACGAAGTCAGAATCATAAACGTCTCACGATTCAATCAGAATCTGTGATTTGGTGGTCCACGGGCTAACGCACCCCCGGCACAGGCAAAGATCCCACGCAAGCAGCGATCCAAACAACGATCCTGTGTTTGTTTCTCAAGAGTTGTAATTTTTATTTTGTTGTGTAAAAAGAAGTCTTATAAAAAGACTATTTCTTTTGAATTTATTGTAATCGACCGAAGATATAATGAATTCCTCAACAGAACCAACTTTTGCTGAAAACAAGCTGGCGACCACAGTGGGAGCCAACGGTCTCGCTGCCGAGACCGTCGTGTCGCAGCCAATCATCAAGATCCTGGTTGAGTCAACGGTCGAGTACGAGTTCGACCAAGAGAAGTTTGAGGAGTATTTGTCATCCTCATCTGTAAAGTCTTCCGCGTCTCGCAAGTGCAGGAAGATTTCATCTTCGTTGAAGTTATCAAATGCTACGGATGAAGACTCTCGTCCGATTGTTGCTGAGGATTTTACTCACAACAGCTCTGCTCAAGATGATTCCTCCCCAATTAAGGAGTCATTCGATCGAAGTTCACCACTGACGAAGAGGGCTCGTCAGAGGCGACGCCAACGCCGCGCTCGTCAATTGGCTAAGGCATTGGAACAAACCGACGGGGGTCGTTATTACGCGGACCTAGAGTCGAGGAGGCATCGAGTGGTTCAGTTGTCTCAACAACCAATCATTCATGTCTCTGCTAAACTCACGACGGAGGAATGGACTATTGTCAAAAGGACTCGTTCGACCCTCAAAGAACGTATACAAAAACGTCGTGCAAACGCTGCTCATGCCCGTGCTCTCTTACAACAAAGACGAGAAAGGAAGAAGGAAACGGTGGCCAAAGAACCACTAAAACTCTGCCAAGTTTGGATTCCAAAGTCTAAAGTTATGCAAAATCAGCATTCGGAGCCCGTTAAGACTCCACACCCGCAAGGGGGTGGTTCTAAACGCATGACTCTTGACATAACCTTGGATCGTGCAGAGGCGACGACAAGTCATCCTGGGTATGTTAACAAGGTTCAAACACAAAAACAGAAGATAGGTTGCTCTGGTCACCATGTTGACGAGTTGTACTATCAAACTAAAGGTGGAAACAAATCACATAAAAGGACTGTTCGAGAAACGAATCGTCATTGTGTATGTGAAAAACTTATCAAAGCAGTGTTGCCTAAATGCAACTGCTTTAAAGCCATTCCGCCGAAAGTTTCTGTGTTCCAGAGACTTTCTACTGAAATGTCGAAGCCCAAACCGAGACGTTTCCACAAGAAGCTTACTATTCAAGAGGATGAATTCCCTGAAGTCACCATCAACATGGCTGATAAAGAAAAATCTAAGTGGCATTCAAGTGAATCAAGCCCCGACTTTTTCCCGGGAGGAAAAGTCAATTCAAGAATTGCCCGCCGGAAGTCTCGACTCCAGCTAGGAGCTATCAGGCGAATGCATGAAGGAATGTTATCAGAGGATGAACTCTCGGACACTTGTTCTGCGATCGCTTCGGATGATACATCATCTAGCATAGGACAAACCAGAGAAGTACTCACAATCACCTCTGATCAGTTCGCTCAAATACTTCAAGAAGCTCTAGCCAAACAACGTGAAGAAATTAGAGCTGAAGTGAAGACAGAAATGGAGTTAGCTATCCAAAAAATGAGAGAATTGCTAGCTCAATGGCCTCAACCCCCTGAGTCCAGTCAAAGAGCTGAATCCAGCCGCCACATTCAGAATGTTACAGATGACAGTGATCCAGAAGTGGATGAAGTCATTGTGGCTGATACACCTCCCAATAGCAATAACGCTGGGGGTAGTCTAACGGATCCTCCCAATAACGAGATTGGGGGTGATTCAATAGCACCTCTCACAGGGGGTGGTCTAACTCATTCTCCTCAACATCCTTCGAACGAAGATATAGACGATGACGGGAAAATGAAAGAGCTTGAAAACAAAGTCAACGCTTTGATGACGACTCAAGAAGTAAAGAAGACGGGTATTCCATGTCCCTATCCAAGAGAATGGGATTCAATACCGTATCCGACAAAGTTCAATCTGATTAACTTCACACTGTTTGAGGGGAAGAGCTCGCCTATTCAACACTTGATTTATTTCAAGTCTCATTTAGGCATGATCTCTGGAAACGAAGCTTTAATGGTCCGGTCATTCGTTGGCACCCTTCGTGGGCCCGCCTTCGATTGGTACCGACGGCTCAAACGAGGGAGCATCAATTGCTGGGATGACATGGAAAGTTTATTCCTCAGTAACTTTTTTGATGATGACACCAAAGTGTCAATCGGAATCCTTCTAGATGAAAAGCAAAAAGACGGAGAGTCAGTCGATAATTTTGTCAAGCGCTTCCGTAACAAAGCAATGAATTGCAGAGATCCTATTACAGAGGAGTTCATCTGCAAACATGCCACAATAACCTCTCCATCGATGTCCTGGAAGCTCTGGGGGTTGTGCCATCCACAACTTGGAAAGAGTTAAAATCTCGGGGTGAACAAGCTGAACACTCTCTTAAAAGAAAGAAAGCTGAGAGAGGCCAACCGACGACATCTGCAACCGCTGGGAATGCGACTCTCGATCCGAGGTTCAAATTCCCATCTTGGTCAAACCTTTAAACAGTTAGGACCAAAGCCAAAATCCCCTCTCGATTCGTTCCATGAACGAGAGGTCCACAAATTGAACGATCAAACCTTTAAACAGTTAGGATCGTCTCAAATTCCCATCTTGGTCAAACCTTTAAACAGTTAGGACCAAAGCCAAAATCCCCTCTCGATTCGTTCCATGAACGAGAGGTCCACAAATTGAACGATCAAACCTTTAAACAGTTAGGATCGTCTCAAATTCCCATCTTGGTCAAACCTTTAAACAGTTAGGACCAAAGCCAAAATCCCCTCTCGATTCGTTCCATGAACGAGAGGTCCACAAATTGAACGATCAAACCTTTAAACAGTTAGGATCGTCTCAAATTCCCATCTTGGTCAAACCTTTAAACAGTTAGGACCAAAGCCAAAATCTCCTCTCGATTCGTTCCATGAACGAGAGGTCCTCAAATTGAACGATCAAACCTTTAAACAGTTAGGATCGTCTCAAATTCCCATCTTGGTCAAACCTTTAAACA